TGATTCCGGCTTATCGAGTCGCGTTAAAAGCGCTGACTATCCAATAAATCCGACGAGACGATGGGAGAGGTCGGCTGAACTTCGTCTTTCTTCTTAACCCCTTTCATTTGCAAGTCTGAAACCTTTGTAAATCTAATAGGCCCCGGGTCAAATTGTATTCAAATACTACAACAAACGGTGCTGTGGATATCGATCATTCGCAAGCTTCCGGTGCAGCGCGTGCCTGCTGTCGGGAACGGGGAAAAAGGAGTAAGTAATTCTACACTTGTTCCCTGATCGGAATAACATATTGCCAATTTCCTCTCGTTTCCACTTCTCGAAACGATTTCAAAGCTAAATGGATTTCTACCAAGATTTCCCTTTTGCCCCCGTTTCTCATTTCCTCTCCTTTTCCTTCAGATTTCTTCTATTCCTACTGCTGTCTGCTGTATGCATATTGATGAATAATTGAACTCTAAATGGGACTTTGTCAATTTGAACTCTCGTCGAATTGTTTTATGCCGGCAGATGAAAGGAAGTATCTACCGACGAGATTCTGATATTAGAAAGCTGCCTATTCAATGTGTTTGCTTATACCCAGTAAAAAACTATTACAAAATTAAATCATATTACTTTTTAAGAAAGTGTAGGAGGATAATTAATTAATTTGTTGAAATAGTAGAAGTACATATGTCATGTTTTATATAAATTATAACACATTTGTACACGTAACAGAGAAAATTCATGATCTAGTAATTTCATTTTTCAGTTTGTAGTGTAAACGGTGAGAAATGAAGAAAAATAAATTTCCATGAAAAGCTGCTTGTTTGCATTTAACAATAAATAATTTGCTTTTGTCTCAATTTTCTTTAAATCAGTATCCCTTGCAAAAGAAATTCCTTTTTAATTCAAAAGACTAAGACGTAAGGAACATCTACGTTGATTTACCGAGCGTAAAAAATTGTGGACAAAGAGAGAGATTTAAACGCTTTACTTAAGCAGCATTTCTAGAAAAAAGGGACAAGTGATTTCGGGTAAGTTAAGAGAAATACTGCGGTCTAATATGAATTTCAAATAGGCTTTGCTTAAAACTCGTGTATTGGTGGCTTAATCTGCATTTTTTTGCGGACCGGTTTACCCGCTTAGTTTCCCTTCTTCCATTTAAAAATTTGGATTAACGTCCCTCTCACTTTTTGTCGTTTCGAGGAACAGCAGATTTACATTTTAATTCAATCCAATCTTTGTGGAATGGTATCTTGACAAAAACGTTCAGCAATTTCATTAATTTCATTGCACTTTGTAGATTATATTTTTAATTTTTATTAGAAGAGTTGGAAAGCTAATTGTAGAACGAATATTTCCAATAATTCCATTTTACATATCTATATTATGTATATTTATATATTTATGTTATTTTATTCGTATTACATACAATTTCCTACGAGAAACTAATTTGGGATATTCAAGTGAACAGCAGTCTATATGCTCAGGAAATTTTGAATTTCAAAGCGGAACAAATATCTTGGTCTAATCGAACGTTTTGCCATCGCGGAGACGATATTATCGGTAATTAGATTCCTGTGTTATGCCGTTATACGATGAAGGGAAATTGGTATAATTACTACTAGGAATAGACAGTGAGCACGCTTTGCTTAAAAGTTCGAACTCCATTGGTCCACGGGTGTCCATTAGCGGAGACCAAAGGTAATGTTGGAAAATAATGAAAGCAAATTGGCTGTACAGTAATTGTTCCTTTGTTGAGGGAAGAGTACTATGATAGCCAGTTATATTAAATTAAACTCACAATTTTAATAATCTTCGTTTTCTAGTTTTATTGTAAAATCAACAAATATATTTGATATTTAAGTGATACCGTTTATTTATATACATAAATCTCTCTTAACATATTTAATTTTGACGTGAAAATATTTAATCACTTAGAAATTTGCAAATTGGTAAATTATTATTATTACATAATATTCTATGGGATCTATATCTATTTGAAGAAAGCATTTCATATGCGCCAATGTAATAACGATCTCTTTTGCTTCCTCTTACGAACTGTCATAAGTGATTGATAGACCGGAAATTGCAAGATTTCAATCTGTGCATACTGTGGCGGGCTTATAGTAATTCTACTGGAATCAAATTCTCTGAGGATGATGAATACAGACAAGGCTATTACACTCTTCCTACCATGTTAATCGTATCCCCGGCGTTAACGACTGTTAAGCGTCTGACAGTCCATTCAAAGTGGTTCGCTTTGCATTGCGAATCCCGTAACGATCGTTTTCCTGCTCTTATCTCAACCGCGTCCGAAAACTCGCCCCACATCCATTTTGCCTCTTGAAATTCCCCCTCGATTTAAAGTAAAAGTTGTACCGATTATGAAACGTATTCTAGTAGAAATACAAGATGAACACCAAAAGTTAGAAGAGTTAATATTGAAAATTTGCATGTTCCATGTAAGTAATAATATTTCTACATGAAGTAATCAATTATAAAATACTTGTTTAAAATACAAAAAGTGAAATAACAACGCATGCACGTTTTTATAAGAATATTCGTATTCTATTGGAACTATAACTCTTTGTATCAAAACTTGTGTGGTATTCTAAATATATTTCTTGAGTGCACAGATTTTTATGAAATATCTTTTAAAATTCTTATCATGATTCGATAAAACCTAGCGTTTTCGTTATCTAATACGAGCTCCTCCTGAGGAAAAAATCGATAGTTTTCTTTGGGTTTCCTTTGCCGGCTACCTAGCTGGCGCCAGTATTCCTTTGAAGATTCGCCGGCAGTAGTTCAGGTCGGTAAATTATCAGCTGCTATACGTCTGTCCATACTCGGATATTTCTACTTATTAATCGCATACTATGCCAAACTTTTGTTCTCTAGAACTAATTGAGTAAGAAATGTCTTTATATTACATGAATCAATTGGGGAACAAATGTGTTCATAAAAAGAATTTTCAGATAATAAAACAAGTGATTAGTATTCGTATTTAAAATAAAATCAAATAAACCGAATATAATTTGTTTATAAATCGTTTCTTATTTCACGTACAAAATTTAAAAACTAATATTTTTCAAAGCTTCTTTCTTAAGAATTATAGACTTATCAACTTATCTATCAGCCAGAGAAATTCCTATATTAATTGATAATAAGCGAAGGCTATTTTCGAATAACATTATTGGAACCATTGTCTGGTAATGGGTATCTGTGGTTTAAGGTAATACCATCGCTGTGTACGTACGTGGGTGAATATATTCCCTGAGCGGTGACAGGAACTCTCTCAAGAATCTGATTATTGCAGCCTTGGTGTGTTCGCCAAGGTTTCCACGCGAATACTTGAAAACTTCAATGTGCCGTAAATGAGATTCGTAGTTGATGTGGGTTTTATTAAAATTACCGATTATTGGCTCCCATCGCGCATGCTTCAAGGATTTTCAAATTCAGTTTCGGCCTCGCTTACCATTCTACACGCAAATTCGTCAATATCGTTTATTATAATTAAATTGATAATTTTATGTATTTATGTTAGAATTGAACATAGAGAAATTGCACGTAATGCATACAAAGCTGTCTGAAATATTAAAAGAACATAATGCAATGAATAAATGATAAAAGTAACGTTTATTCTAATTGACTAATACAGATATTTTATTCTATATAAAAATTGGCAATCTAATTATAAGAAATATGTATTATATAATACTTAATATGTAGTATATAAGTAGTTAATTCAAATCAAGAATGAAATTGTTGAATTGTTATTGAATAGATGTCAAAGTAGATTGGGGGTGGGTTAAGCCGGGAAGCTTGGGGGATATCTTAGGATGTGAACGAATCTGGATGAGGAACCATGAGACTGAGTTAAATTCGATCGAACTGGCTGAACTCTCAAACTAACGTTTCACGGTAATGTCAAACATCATTTAGCTGGCTATTGGTTCATGTGTCTACACAGGTCATAGGTGGATATATGTATGTTTGGTATTCGACTATCGCGCTGCTAATGTACTGTTCGGCGCTAGCGATGCTGATTGAATGTGTATGCATATAAACGTACGTGTGCATGC